TTGGTTTCAAGAGAGCTCATAGTCAAATACCTCTAGTGACTATAAAATATAAGTCATGAGCAGCAAAGATTTACTGAGCATGCAGTATGTGCTCAGCACTTTCCATGCAGTCCTTTGCACTTAATCCTCCCACAGCCCTGAGAGATAGATTAATTTATTATCGCTTTTGTAGAGGGATGATGCATGGCTTCCAAAGACATCCATGTTCTCCCTTGAATGTTACCTTATCTGGCAAAAGAGAGTTAGCAATTATGATTAAACTAAGGATCCTCAGAGAGTGAGATTATCCTAATGAGGCAGAGGGAGATTGATACAGAAGAAAGCAATGTGATAGCTGCTATTTTGTTGGCTTTGAAGATGGAAGAAGAGGCAGTGAGCCAAGGAATGCAAAGCACGCAGTTATAGAAGCTGGAAAAGACAAGGAAAGACATTCTCCCCAAGACAGTGTGGCCTTGACCACGGGAAACTGCCTGACTTCTGATCTCCAGAACTCTAAAAGAATAAATGTGTATCACTTTAAGCCACCATTGTTACAGCAGCTACAGGAGACTCATACACCTTTTGTATATTCAAGAACAGGTGACTTAAAGAATATTGCCTAAGGGTTGGAATGAGATTTGCTGACTCCAGACACCAAGATCTTATCCATTATACTGCCTCATCTATAGTGCTTGTCCTAACCACCTTGGCATTATTATTTACTTTGGTTTCTCTCTCCTTATCCTGCTTCTCTCACTGGCAGTTCATCTTCCCATCTTGTACTTTTGTAATCTCCTGCATGTGTGATAGAGTCAGTGTATAAACATACTGGTGGACATTTGTGGCATGTGCATGGGCTTTTTCTAGGCCTGCAAATTTTCTTATGATTTAACTATAGAAAGGCTGCTGACTGCTTTTGTTCCCCCTTTGCTTTCATAAAGACTGTTGCTCTTTTCTTTACTGTAGCACTAACAGTTGGACAGAGCAGGACTTCTGTTTTTTCAGAGAGTTTTGCTCACTTCCTGCTCAGTGTTCAGAGCCCAGTGAGTGCTTATGAGGTTCTTTCTTCTCAAGGATTTTTGTATTATTCAAAACAGTTTGTAGCCTAAGATTTCCCATTCCCACTAAAATTATAAAATAAAAAGAGAAGGGAAAAAATGAAACAGTAAATCCAGAAAACAATGGATCCTTTGTTTTGTCAGCTGACCCTCCCACATTCACACGCATATTAGAGTTCTCGAAGCCCCTAAACACCAGGGCGGGGCAGGCATCACACATGTAGCCTTTGCACTGTGTTACCAATGTGAAGGCCTTGGGGATGGAGGCTGGGGGGAGGGAAGGCGGCTGTCCCACTGTGAATCCAGAATCTGAAAGGAAACCATCTCCATCTGGGAGGGGGTATGCAGCCCGTTGGTCCCTGGCAGCTCAATGGCTATGGAGACATGAAGCAGGGCCCGTCTCTTGAGAAGCTCCCAGGACTCTGCTTCTCTTTCTGTGAACCAAAGATTCCCTCTGACATTAAAGCTCTTAAAGTGATGCTGGTTCAAGCTCCTATAGTTTCTTTCCTAAATTATTGATTCTTTAGGCTATACACTCTGCATCTAGCCCTAAACAACTTTCAATCTAATACCCATGCTCCTACCTATTACCCGAGGGATGGTTCCAAAATGCATTCTCCTCATTGCCAGAGGGATGCAGCCCAACCTTGTCTGGATCCCCTGGTGTATTAGTCAGGGTTCTCCAGAGAAACATTACCGATGGAATTACATCTGTAATGTATACATGTTATATATGAGATATATTATATATAATGCATATGTATTCCAGAAGGAGATTTATTATGAGGTACAGGCTCCCATGACTATGGAGGCTGAGAAGTCCCATGATCTGCTGGCTGGGAGTTGGAGACCCAGGAGAGCTGGTGGTGTAGTGTGAAGACCTGTGAACCAGGGGAGCTGCAAGCAGGAGGTACAGCTCAGCTCAGAAGTCAGGTGGAGAGTGAGTTCTCCCTTCTTCTGCTTTTTTGTTCTACCCAGGCCCTCAACTGGTTGGAAGATATTCATCCTCATTGATGAGGGCAACCTGCTTTACTCAGTCCACTGATTTAAATGCTAATCTCTCTGGAAACACCCTCACAGACACCCCTAGAAATAATGTTTAGCCACCTATCTGGGCATTCCCTTGCCCAATCAAGTTGATGTGTAAAATTAACCATCACACTCAGGTTCTGACCCCATTGCTCACCTCATGTCTCATCCCCTCATGTTCCAGCCCTTCCTTAGAGCTCTGAACTCTGTGCCTGCTCACATGCCCCTCCTTCACACATGCCATTCCTTCCTTCTCCACCTCTATTCCATTTGGCATCAGGCAGAACAATAGACAGCAGGACATTAAGAGCAATAGCTATAAGACTGTCAAACTACAGCGGGAAGGCTGGGGAGGGTTAGGGGGGCGAGAGGAGGGATAGGAGATCAACCAAAGGACTTGTATGCATGCATATAAGCATAACCAATGGACATAAGACACTGGGGGGTAGGGGAGGCCGGGGGAATGTCAAGCGGGGGGCGGGGGGGAAGGAGACATATGTAATACTCTTTGTAATACTTTAAGCAATAAAACAAAATTTAAAAAAAAGAGCAATAGCTATGGAGTCAGAAAGGCCTCGGATCAATTCATTAATTGCATAAATATTTACTCAACACCTTCTTCATGCAACAGGGATGTTATTCTGCCACTGTTGCTTGTGCAGTGGCCTTGGACAATTACCTGACATCTCTAACCCTCAGTTAGCACTTCTATAAAATAACACATAGGAAGCACTTGGCCTGGTGCCTGGCACATATAAATCTTTCATGAACATGAGATGCTATAGTTACTATTTGTATTTTTCTTTAAGGTTGAATTCAAGCTTGGTGACCCTGCCCCAGACATTCCCCAACATCACCCTCTCCAGCTACCATGTCCTCTGCTGCGCGACGCATGCATCTATTCCAGCCCTTAATACAGAACACTTACCCTGTTATTTAATTGTTTGACCCCCACTATTCTTGGACAAAAACAGCATCTCCCCCATTTCTTTTTTCTGAGTGCCCTGATCAGGGCTTGTGCCCACATTCCTGGAGCAGAGGGAGGCATTATCCCCAGGTGGGCGAACGTTATGCTCTTGTTCTTTCCCTGATTCATCTGCCCCTCTTGCCTCTCCTGGCAGCAACTTGAAAGGCTGTACCAAGCTTAGCTGTAAGCTGAAGGCTGGTCAGGGAGCTGGACCAGCCATGGCAACTTTTATGGGAGGATGAATTGGGAAAACGAGTCCTGAGCAGTCCATTCATCTCAAGTCTTGTTTGTCATCCTGCACCTAAAATGAACAGATGCCAGCAGAAAGCATCTCATTCTCACGGGAAGAGCAAGAGTAATGAGATCAACACACCAGCATCAACCTCTCATTCTCTTTTACATTAAAAAAAAATAAATTGTACACTTTAATGTTCCATGTTCCTTCTTTCAAAGGAATAAAGTTAAGTCAGTGCTGCCTCAGAGAGATCTAGATAGTCATCTCCTTGGGTGGCAGCTGTAGGGATAGGCTATCTGCTCATAACATCTCCACTACTCCCCAGCGTAGAGTACAGCCATCTTAGATGTTTAGCAAGATCTCCTTCCACCTCCTTCAATCCAAACAACAGTTTGCCCACAGTCTCTCTACAAAGTGTCATATTTCACAATGCCATGCCCTTTCATGAGCCCATCTCTCTAATCTTCATTCAAGAGATGATCCTGAGGCCAGGCTCATTTCACCCCACTCAGGCCCCCTTAATGGACTGAATTGTGTCCCTTCCCCAATTCATATCTGGAAGCCTAGTCATCAGTACTTTAGAATATGACTGTATTTGGAGACAGGACCTTTAAAGAGGCGATTAAGCTTAAATGAGCCCTAATCCAATAGGACTGGTGTCCTTATAAGAAGGGAGAGACACTAGGACTGTGTGGGCATAAAGGAAAGACCAGGCGAAGCCTCAGGGAGAAGACAGCCTCTGCAAGCCCAGGAGAGAGGCCGCAAGAGAAACCAAACAATTTTTGTTGTTTCAGCCACCACATCCAGGGTGTGCTGTCGCCCTCATAGACTAATTTAAACCCCAAAGGGTTGGCTCAGACACTGATTATTGCAATTTCCTGCATTCTGTTCATTAGATTGCAATTTCTGTTGGTTTATCTGTTTGCCCTGTTGGGGTAACCACCAGGGTTCATTCCTTTCTACTATGTGCAGCACTAGAGAAAACCCAGGCATTAATACTGCAAGATAAGTTTTTGCCTAACTTATGAGCGATGCTACTGCAGCAGAAGCTCTGGAAGTGTTATGAGAAGGACAGAAACCTCCTTTTTAGCCAAAGCGATCTTTTCACTCAACTTGCAAACTAAACAAACTATCCAAGGATACAATTTGAGGGAGGGGATGGGGGATTGGAAGCATCTTTTCCTAATTTTGCAGAGGCGAGGTTTCATGACTTGAAGACTCATTGGTCATTGGGTTCCTTTTCAGGCTCTGTGGGATTAGTGGATTCTATACTTAGATTCTCAGTGTCTTTTTCTTGTCCTCTTTGTCACTCTAGTCAGGCTCTTTCCTACCCCCACCCTTCCTTCTCCTAAGGGCTCCAAATGGCCCTCGCAGACCTGCTGCAAGTGGAGAAAGTGTTCGGCCACTAATTCCCTCACCCTTTACACACCCCAACTAAGTGCTACAGTAGCCCATGTTTGTGGGCCTTAATTTCCCCTAAAACACACATGGATATTTATTTAATTATTTTAAATATATTTTTATTGATTTCAGAGAGAAAGGGAGAGAGAGAGAGAAATATCTCACTATGTTGCCTCCTGCATGCCCCACACTGGCTGCCTCTTACATGCCCCACACCGAGGACGAGCCCCCAACCCAGGCATGTGCCCTGGCCAGGAAGCAGACTGTGACCTCCTGGTTCATAGGTCGATGCTCAACCACTGAGCCACAGATGGATAGTTAAAGACCTTACCACAACTCTGGTAGAGCACTTCCAAGCTTGAGTCCTTGCAGGCTGTGTGTGTGGGCCAGGCTGGGGTGTCACCACCACTGGGAGAAATCAGGGTCCAGATGAGGAAGGCAGCAGTGAAACCCTTCATGGTGCAGGGCCAGGCCTGTGTGTGACCAACGGAAAAATAACAGGCCCAATAAGAAGGGCCTTCAGGGCGGTTCTTCCTCTCCCCTCATTAAAAGGGTGACATGTTCAGTTTCACTTCTCATATTTTATGCTCCTGGAGAACCACTGTGAGTAGCACAGTCCGTTAGCAGAGGCATTTGAATACTGTTCCCCCAGGCCCTCTGGCACTGGAATCAGAGTGAAGCTAGTCTAGGTGGGGGGTAGGTTGGATGTTGACTTTCTGCTTTCACAGAGAGAAACTAGGAAGTGGTGTGTGGCCTTATGCCTCAGGTCCCCGCAAAACATCCCGCCTAAGAGTCCCTACCCCAGGTGGAGCTGTGAACTCAGGGTGGGTAAGCCACAGGCCACCTTGTGCTTTCCATCAGCAGGCCCCAGGTCCCTGCAGGCTTCTCACGCGGGCTGTGGACCCTGGACCTGGCTGGCTCTGGCAGGCAGCATCCGGCATTGGGGATCTGGAATGAGGCTTTTGCCCTATTGGCATTTTTCTCTCTGGTTTCAGCTCCACTCTCTGGACTTGTGCAGCTGCTAATACGGAGCCTTTTTCTGGAAGCTGCAAATGTGGTCTCTGAAAACGAGGGGGAGGGAGTCACCCTAAGAAGTGAGCTGTGAGCTACTTCTGGTTCAGCTTGGTGGACGGGGTAGGGGAAGATGGGGAAGTGAGGGCCTCCCTTTTAAGAGTGGGAATGTAATTGGTTTGGTCATTGGCGAGATTGTTAAAGTCATGTCTCACTTTCTTTTCAAAGCCAAGATTCTGTCTCCCTATCCCAGTACTGTTGCCCTGATTCCAGACAGCAAGGTTTCTGAACACTAATTCCCACCCCCACCCAACTGCACCTTCGCTGGAGAGAACTGGAGTCAGAGCCAACGCAGGCAGATTTTAGGAGCAACAGAGAACACTATTTCCCCTGGGAGAAAAAGCATTTCACTAAGCACAGTAGGTGAAATTGACAATTTTTGCCGATGGCTAAATAAGAATTAAAGTCACCTCAAAACTGTTTTTGAAGTGGAATGTAATTGCCAATAAAGACAAATAAATACATTGACTTAGCTGATGGATTCTTTCCATTTTTTTTGGAGACACCAGAGACTAGTCATTTGGGGCAGGTCTGAATTGATTTTTTTTTAGGTACTCATCTGCAAATAAGTACAGTGGTATTGGCTTTCAAAATTCGTTCTCAAAGTATGGTTCCTGGGCAATAGCATCAATTTCAACCAGGAGCTTATTACAAATGAAAATTCTTGGGCTACATGCAAGACCAACTGAATCAGAACCTCTGGGCGGGGTCCAGCCAGCACTCTGTGTTGTAATAAGCTCTCCGATGCATTAAGAACTCAGGGTGAAAGTTGAGGCCCGAGGAAGAGGAGGGTGAGCTGCTCTAAGAGGAGACAAGATAGCACCGTGTGGTCTGTGTGAACAGAGGTCAGCTATGCTGTGAACAAGAGCTCAGGTGAGAGCCAGAAGCTCAATGTTTAGAGTTGTGGGCCCAGGGGAGCATTTAATCTCCGGTAGTTCCAGGACAAGGCCATGGCAGCTTTCCCTGGGGACCTTTGAGGTCTCTAAGGCTGCGAGAGAGCTCTAAACAGTGAGTGAGGAGAGCAATCAAGGCAAAGCCCTTCCACCCTGCAGAGCACAGCACGACCAATACACCAGCAGACCGGCCCAGGGGTGCAGAGCAGGGAGCAGGCAGGCTGGCAGAGAGCTGTGAGTGGCTACTAGTAAGGAAATCAGGGCATCTGAGGACCGGGCCACAGATATTTGTGAATCAAAGGACCTGGCAATGAAAAGAATCATAATTCAGAGATAGCATTGGCATTCAGAAATGTTCAAAAGGGACCATCCATTGAGAGGCTCTGGAGGCGTGGTGATGCTACAACCGTGGTCTCATACCTGGGGGAGTGGGAATCAGCATCAGCTGGATGGCTTGTTAACACACAGATTGCAGGCCCCACTTAGAGGTCTGGGGTGGGGCCCTATAACCTGCATTTCTAACAAGTTCCTAGATGTTGCTGATGCTGCGGGGCTGGGGCCACAGTTTGAGAGTTCCGCCCTAGATTATGGAATTTGTCCTCTTGCAGAGTGTACAATTTTAAAAATCCTCTTATAAACAACATGTTCTTTTTCTATATGACGCATAACATTTTGTAAAACACATAACACAGCCAAAGAGGAGTAAGGAGTGAGCAACTTTCTGGAAGGAGTTCAGCATCCTGAAAAGCAGGATTTGACTGAAATCATCAGTATGGCTCACTAGTTCCATCAATCCATACCGGCTTGAGGAGTGCTTCAGCTAGAAGCATTGTAGAGTTCACAGAAGAGTTTATTGATAATGTCCTGTTCCCTAACCATAGAATAAAATTAGAACAAATTCATGATATTTATTTTGAAAATGGCCTTATACATGCAAATGACAGTCAAACATACTAGTACTGTCAGGCTCTGATCCTGACTCCCAGGACCTTACAGAAGCTGTGCTGTTCTAGTCTCCTTCAGACTTCTCTTCTACTTCGTTTGCTAATCCTCTTCCTCATGTTTCAAGCTGCTCTCCTTGCATAGAGTTTTGCTTGGGGACGGTGTCTATATTTTCTTGAAAGGTAAAAACGTTATGATCAGGATGGCTGTCACTAAAAATTTTCTTAAGAAGAAAACTCATGTTTAAGAAGAGACTTTATGAATAAAAGATGAGATTCTGAGGGCAAGAGTCCAACATAAAAGGGTAAGAGGGAAGCGGCTCCACATGAGGAAGTTGGATGGACTAGACCTTGCTGCAGAGAACAAGGCAAAGAAAAGAGAAAAGTGTAGAAACAGTCTGCTTTCCACAGAAAAGAAGAAAAATGTCATCTATTTACCTGCTTCAGATTAATTCACTCGTTTATTCGGCAGATATCTATTAAGCATTCCAACATTCCAGGTACAATTCCAGGCACCAGGAGTCCAGCAGATCAAAGAGCTGATTCCCATAGAGCTAACTTTCTAGTGGGAGAAGACAATCAAAACATTTGTTTAGTAATAGCATTTAGTAAAAGAAAAGACACTTCACTTCTTGGTTTTCACATAGAAAATTGAACTGAGATTTCTGAAATCCTTTCAGCTTCCTGTTGCATGCCTGTATACACTAACTGCCCCTCCCTTTTAATTTGCCCCAGACTGGTAGTTCATCAGAGCTTTCCAGTAACTGTTCTAATAGATAAACTCTAGCAAGTCTTTCCTCTTAAGAACATTTTTAGAGATACTGCCTCTTCCAACTTCCTTATTATTGCTCCATTTATTAACATTCCTGTTTATTTATTCTGGGGACATAATATGCAAAGTACGGGGCCATAAATTCTATGATGAACTACCAACAGAAATGATTTTTGTTTGCTTGGGGAACAGGTATGCTGGGCCAAGAAAGAAGTGGGCTTTATAGATTAGTCTGATCAATTTCCCAATGATGAAAAGGGCCACGAGTTTCCCAATGATTAAGGCACAAGAAACTGCTCTGAGATTCAGAGAGGGTGGGTCTAGTCTGAAAGGACTCATGTATACTGTCTAAAATTTCTCTGGCGCCTGGGACAAATTAGCAACTTGTAGCTAAAACTCTCTCCAGATTGAGATGTTCTCAAGATTTCATTCTGTTAAGATTGAAATGACTTTGATAAGCTGAAGGAAAAGCATTAGGAAGGAAACCAAAAGTGTGGGTCAGAATGAGGAGAGTTCTTTTACGTGCTATGAAGAGGGGTCCTAATTTGCAGTTGTAGCTTTTGCCTTGCCTCTGGCTTCAGTATGTACCTCCCACTCTGGTTAGTTCCAGATTTGCAGCTGGTCATCATGGGGTTTACATGAGTCACATTGAGCCACATTGTTGGAGAGCATATTTTGCTGGACTGGCAGATGGTAGTTGGAATGAAATAACTTGCCCATTGTTTGCATCAGAATTCAGAACATTTTCTTGACTTCTCTCTCCTGGTGTTGGCTATGGGATGGATCCGTCTAGAATTCTCCCTGAAGTAATAAGCTTACTCAGCAGTAATTTTGACATATAAATAATAATCTTTGAAATAGCCTGTTTATTTCTTCCCTGGAATAAATAAGAATAGCCAAATGTGCTGGACCGCTGTTACGTGCCAGGCACTCTTCTAAGCACTCAGTATGTATTCCCGCACTCATTTAAATCCTCAAAACAGCCTTGCAAGATAGGTGCGGTACCATCATTCTGCTACCACAACTTTGAAATCCCAAAGTCTTGGAAAAGGAGTCTTTAAACATTCTTTTGCTGGAAAAATCTGATCTAAACTGTATAGTCTCATCAGTTTAATAGTCTTAATTTAGAGACTTATTTTATTATACCTAACTGAATATTAATTTGTTTCACTGCAAAAATATTAATGTGATTGATTAATGAGCAATGGACCCTGCACCAGACCCCACTTGGAGTGTTATAAAATATAAACCCTATTACCTTTTAAAATCAAGAAATTCTGAGTTTTAAATAGATCTGTACTAAAGATTTCAGTGAAAGGGTACTGAACTTGTTCTGTGATGATCCTCATTATCAAAATGAGGAAACTGAGGCACAGTTAGAAATTAGTCCAAGATCACACATTTGGTAAAGCCAAGTTCCAAGTCAGACAGACTCCAGAATCCAAGGTTCTTGACCTCAGAGAAAACGGCCTCTTTACTACTGAGCCTTTATGTTTGCTTATCCTCCTCTCTAGTGAGATCAAAGCAAATCATCCCCATCACTTAGAGATGGACGGGACTGGCCTTTGTAGCTTCAAGGAGTAGGCATCTTTGTCAGAAAACTGCCACAATGGGAAGTTGGGTGCTGGGGCAAATAGGGGCCGTGCACGTGGAATGGGTTTTGTAGTCAGCTGGCTTGGGCAGAAATATTGCCTCTGCTGTGTGGTATTGGAATGTCACATAACCTCTCTGACTGTAAGTTCTTTACCTTCGCAAAAGTCAATAATAATCAATAAATGGTACTTTTTTTTTACTATCTTTTACTCTTAAA